GAAGGACCACACGGCCAGGACCACACGGCCAGGACCACACAGCCCAGCCACAGAATACGGCGCGACGGCCACATTGCAGTCACGTGACTGTCTGTCAACCAGCGGCTTACGTCGAGCCAATTGGCCAATCGTCGTCTACAAGCACCCACAAGTCACCAGTCAGCCAGTTGCCCGTCAGCAAGCAATGTGCCGCTCGTCTACGAGCGCGACACGCCTTGGCATACAGCAGTGGGCAACGGGCCTCTACAGCTCACATCGTTCAGCTTCATGCAGTATCTCAGTGCTACACCTTGTTCTTCAACCACCGTGCCGTCGTAGTGATCTTCCAATCGAGCTAGTATATCCCACCAACCCCCGCACTTGACGACTTGCTCTATCTCCAAGACCTGGCCCTAGGACGACCTGCCAAGGCAGAACAAAGCCATTCTTCACACAAGTATTGGGAAGATAAGTGGTGGAGTAGAGCCCAGGAAAGACTGTCACAACAGTATCTGTCAGGGCTCAACGTGTTTAGAAGCGCGCCAAAGCTTCCGGTATTCTGACATGCAAAGCGTAGCTGCGTTGGAACAGACTCTTGTCGTATAGGTAACGCGTAAGACGTTGTAGGAGAGACTAGACGACCTATGGATACCTGTCCAGTCCTCCAGATCTTTGTTCGCTATCCCATTCTTTTTCTAGGGGACAGCCACCATGCCTCTCGGACGTGTAGACAGGCGCACTCCTACCAGGGAATGCCGGAAAGTAGACAAGGCGTGTTTGTGGCAGCTAACAGTAGTCAGTATCAACACCCCCGGAGTCCACACGAATGCATCAATGTCAGTTGCAAGTGGTCAGGTTAAGATAGAGCCTCAGCAGGCCAATCGAGGAAGTATTGCCACTTCGCTTTAGAAACAAGCCCCTAGCAGCAAGGCAATAGACCTACACTTTGCCAATGAACTAGGCACAAAGAAAGGAAGTCGTACGAGCCAAACTAGTGGCCGACATTCATGGTTTGGTCAAAGCTTTGGCTTGGAAGCCAGGCTAACTACACAGTCTCCCCGTTCAAGCACGCCCTCGCCCGACTGCTCATGCATGGTGTCCTGAAACCGAGGCCTTCTCTTTTCAAGGAAAGACTTCACGCCCTCCTCGAAGTCCCTATGAATAGAGGTCAAGAGGATTCTATACGAGGAGGGTATAAGCCAGGACTTACTGTGACTGGTATCTCGTGTAGAGTGTTGCAGATTCCAGAAGGTGCGCTTGCTCCGGGCTTCGTAGTGATCGATAAATCAGGTCTCGAGTTAGATAAACACCTACCTGGGATGCATTGACAGCAATGTCCCGCGCTACTTCTAATGCACGCGGCAGGGTTGATGAGGCAGGGTTGACCGTCTCTGAGAAAAGTCCATGCAACAGGCCTGATTCGGCCGGATACAAGGCGCCAGTGGTAAAGAGGTGTCTAGTCTGGGCGTAAGCACTTGGCCCAAGCTCTCTTTTTGGTATGGTAGCCCTTACAATGCGCGGCCATACCCTATCAGTCGCGGGAGATAGAAGCTAGAAGCGGCATCGGCGACGATTCCTCTTCTAACAAAAGGAAACGAGATCTTTGCACTCTCTGCAGCGATACGGATACTCATTGGCAAGGTCATCGTAATACCAACGCCGACAGCGGTGCCGTTGATGGCTGCGATAGTTGGTTTACGGCAGTTGTGGATCGCGAGAGCCAGTTTTCCCCCCCTGTGCTAGACTTTAACATCGCTTCGCCTTGGCGATCTACAGGGTGCGGGGAAACTCACGCATCGCGGTGTGTGTCCCGTGTTTTGCCGATTTCGCCGAAGCCCTCGGTCAGGTCTACGCCAGAGCAGAAGAACTGTCCCTCGCCAGTAAAAACAATACACTTGACCGAATCGTCTGCATCCATTGCGCTGAGAAGTTGCACCATGTCCGTGAGCATTGGCAACGTAAGTGCATTGCGGGACTGGGAACGCGCAAGGACTATCACCGCAATACCGTCTGCGTCAGGACCGTCCACACGAAGGTTGTGCCACGCATTTGACGAATAAGAGAATCGATTAAGCATGGCAGGAACAGAGGTAGAGTTTCGCAGGATACAGATGCTTTGAGAGCAGGAGATGGTTTTATCCAAGGCGTGCCAAGCAAGCCTACCCCTGGAAGACGAGTAAGGAAACATTCCGAAATCTAGCGCTCCCCAGAGCGTTCTACTTGGCTGGCAGCTAGACATGGTGATTTGCTATGGCACTCACACCAAGTTGCCAGTAGGGTATTAATCATAGAGCCAGTGCTGTCTCCCATGCAGCGCTTCGGTCTCTATGGCGTTGACGTTTGCGCGCTCTACTGAGTGTGTGTGTGTGTGCAGCGGATGGGCCACGTCACTGGATCGGTTGGTTACCCCAACATCACAGCAGCAATAGCCTATTTTCTTCCACGCGCTCTGTGCCCACCACAAGCGCAGTTTTGGGTGCGATCGAGGCAATTCGATCGCATGTTCCTGCAAAGACCCTCTCGTACCGAGAAGCCGCGAAAGAAAGAGAAAGAAGAAAAGAGAAGAAAAAGGGAAAAGGTGCTGACCAAACGGCTTTGACCCGCCGGAGCAGCGACGCAACACGGTCCTACACAGCGACGCCAACTCCTCAGCCCATAAGAGGAATCCGAATTTTTGCGGTACACCGAAGGGTGAACAGACTGTGTGCTTGTACCTACGAGGTTGATGATACAGAATTTCGCGTTGGCTGTGGCGAGACAGGAGGTATCGGAGGCGTGGGTGGGTTACGTGGTTTTCGAAACAAAACAATCACCGCCTTACATGAGAATGTACCGCTGGGACAGACTGCAATCGCAAGAAGGCTGACTCGAGGGGTAGCCACTGTCTATATCCCAGACCTCTTGACCCGTAAATCCGAGAGTACAACGTTAATTTAAGGGATATCCTCAAAACTCGCCAGATAGTAACAATGTATTGCAAGCCTAGGATGCTGGCAGTCAAGTTACCGGCTCCTTTTCCTGACGGCCATGGCAGCCACACAATCAATAGTTCTATAGAACCTTGCGACGCCAACAAGATGCATTTGACGGTCTCTCCACCCCATCCGACTCACAGCGTACAGCCTCTAGACGTTGTTTTGTTCTCCCCACTTCCGGGAACGTACTCGGCTGAACTTCTAACCTATGCTCACCACGCCCAAGGCCCAGCACCATCCAAAAAGAGCGATTCTTTTCATCTTTACTTTTACTCTTATTTCCATTCTCATTCTTACTTCTGTTCCTATCCTTTATCTCTACTCTTATTCCATTTTTTATCTCTCTCTATTATTGTTTAAAATTTTCATTATCGCGGGCCTCATCGAACTCGTTCACGTGCGCAAATCTTCCAAAAGCGTTTGAAGTTTCGGGGGTTGCGCCAACCAATGCCGACATCGTCCTGCGGAGGTTCAGAACCCCAGCACCAGAATAAGGTGAGAGTCTAGCGATTCAAGAGTACGGCAATGGCGGGTAGCTGGAAGGACCTCCGCAGTTTGTTTGAAATCGGAGTGAAGGATACCGCCAAAGTCGAGTCGAAATGGCTAAGCGCTTCATGGCATTCTCTACAGGCCCAGTCCTAGCTTCTCCACCACGAAAATCAAGGTCTTCGTGCCGCACTCTCGACTAGACACGAGTCGGAGAAGAAGAGTGAACTTCCAGACCTTCGCGCTAGCGAAGATGTGGGCAGCAAGGCAGTCTTCTGGAACCCTAGCAAGACCAGGGAAGTTCGCACGCGAAGCCATAGAGCAACGCGAAGACGAGGCCGAGAAACTTCAGAGAGAAGGTCAGGATCAGTCAAAGGTGATGGCTTAGCTACACAAAAAGCAGCAGCAACAGGCTTCAAAGCAGGCAAAGGAGCGAGCGAAGGAGGCGAGCACTCAGGAACTTGTCGCCGCGCGACCGCAAAAAGAACAGGAAAAGAAGAGAAGCTATAACCACGAGAAAGAATGGCACAACAGGCAAAGAGACCTATTACAACAATCACACAGCCTGCCGCGTCATAGGCGCTGCAAGTGGTACTGCAGCTGGACCACCACCACCAGATCTGCTGCCCAGAACAACAGCGCGCAACCGCACAATCAAGGTGCTCAAGAAGCTCAACCGGCAGATAACAGTTGCAAGCATCTAATCACTACACCGCGGTAACAGCTTGTGGCAAAAGCGATTGTGAGTGGCTCTACAGCTCATCCACTGCACAGACCCAATACAGCCCATAGAGTCATTCACTTTGCATCACTGCCACCTCGTCTACAGCTCCATCATGCCCAAAGCAGATTCTATCTTATGGCGGACATCCTCTACCATGGTACGAATAGCTTGCGAAAGCGCACCCCCTGCCCCCCGATAATTCAGCTTCATCATAGTGTCCATGATAGGGATCAGCTTGCGCAGACGGTATCTGACCAGGCTTCGTGTACACGACTCCCGGAGCTGGTCGTCTAGAACAAATCGCCCAACACAGATGCTGAACTTGTCCTTTGGAGGACAGAGTCCGGCACGGAACCCCCCCAGGTTATCTTGCCCAGAAGAAAGATCCTGAGCCACATCCCTCAACGCCTCAATGACCCAGTCTGTGCATATACACAACGATGCTAGAGAATGTAAAGACTTTGACTGACAGACCAAGCACTGTAAGACATCCCGATATATGCTAAAGACAACCTCCTCCAAGAAAAGAGTCATGTCAAAACGAGCGCGGCTGTTCTTCTGACATAGCGTCGGGTGGGAGACGAGCATCTGGAGCTTACTCATAGACGTAGAACAGAAACACTGACGTTTGCTGTGGGGATGAGCCGCCATTGTGCCAGGGATACTAGGCTCGCCCTTGCCGTTGTTGGTAACCGCATTGATCGCACTATCTAGTCCCGAAAATGTCAACCCTTCGTCATATATCTTTTCCATCTCAGAGAAACTCGAAGGAACTGTCTTGTCCGGCTGTTCGATCAAGTGTGGCCCATTACGACCGTGTAGCCCGGACTCAACGGAGCTTTCAAGGAATCCGAAACGCGCAGGCAGGTGCGGTACGTCGATGGAGGGTAGTATAGGTGGGCTGCAAGGACTGGCCATATGTCCTTCTTCTTCTCCTGGGGGCATACAAAGAGAGAAGCTGAGGAAGTCATCACTTTGGATCAGCGGATCATCGAGCAGGGAACTGAATCCAAAGGTTCCCCCCATGAGAAGAGCATTGTCTAGGGCAGTGCAGGCAGCGGTTTCTCGATCCTGGGCCGTTGTGCTGGCATCCGCGAGGGTGAAGTTGGCGCCGTCGCCCTCTACATCCAACAAATGGTTCGACTGCTGTTGGCATGAGCCTCCAGGTGTTGAAGTCACTGGATCTTGGTCCCCATGCTGCTCATTGGCTTCCTGGCCATCATTGGCCTTGCGGGGACGTTTCGGCGGTCGGCCTGTGCGACGCGCGACGCTGTAGACGCAAGGCTGTTGTTGGATGGTGCAACGTCGGCACGACGGTTTATTCTTGTTGCACCTAAGCTTGGACTGGGTGCAAAAGTCGCACGACCCTCGAAGTCGCTCGTTCTTCTTGGGGGCGCACTGCAACATCGTGGGTCTGGGCTGCTGTGTCGACCTTGAGAAAGAAGATGCGGATGATGGGAGGTGACTGGAACCTGTGACTGGTACTTGTGACTTCTGTAAGTAAGCGCAATTATCTCTTGTCCTCAGATCTGCAAGCACCGCCCTGTTTCACACGGAATACATCAAGTTAGAGATCCAGACAAGATTCTCAGGTGCACCTTCCGATAGCGAAGATCTTTCGGCGCGACTCAGGCAGGGTACTTGGGCGAGATAGCTTCCCCTTGAGGGGCCAAGTAAAGTGCCACGCAATCGGGAGGCTAGAGGGGTATACAGACCGCACCACCGAACTGCAGCAGCCAAACGGTAGCTTTTGGACCGCCGCCGCCACTCCCCCTCTATCGATGCCGGGAGAGGCGGTGACAAGGGCTAGGGTTGCGTCGACTTTAGCAGTGTTATGCCAGCGATCGAGGCCCCAGTCGTTCCGAGAGAGATAAGTGCATAAGCAGGGACAGCCCTGCAGCTGTCTCTGCCTCGGTCCGTGCGGCATCACCCTTGTCTCCCGGTGCTTCCGGAGCGTCCCGTTGGCCAGCCTTCTCTTACTCGAGCTTGTCGATAACGGTGCAATACTCGCAGTATTCGTGCCAACACACAACAAAGCTGCACACCTCAACAATTTCATCATGGTAGGTAGGCATCTATCTCGACCGGTTGCTAGTGAATGCGCTCATGGAGTCCTAGGATTCAGGCCTGACTGCCAGCCAACCTTTGGTCCCGAACGCAGACTCCCCACGTAACATTTGTCCCTGTGCAACAAGACACTAATTTACAATATTCAACCACGCAGGCTTTTTGTGATTAAACACCTTTGCATTTGGTACAGGAACGTGATCGAATAGCCCCGCTGAAAGCAAAGTCTCTGACAGACTATGAGACAACTGCATCGACACGTTGCTAATATCTCATTAGAAGATCGGACTAGCGGACAGACTAGAATATGCTCACCTGCCACAGGTACCACAGAACTGACGAACAACAGTGTTTCCGCTTAGGGTATCGCAATCATGGTATATTCTGAGGGTTTCCTTTGGATCTACTAGTTTGATGTCTGATGTTTCAAGAAAAAAACTAGCAGAAAAAACAGTGGAACCAGCTCGCCGGCAGTTTGAACTTGATCAGTTAGTCGGACTCGCTTGTGCACAACAGAAACATACCAAAAACATGCTATAGACGCCTTAGGGAGCGTGGGAATCGTGACAGTAATAGATAAGCAATTACAGCTTCCTTGAATAGTCATAACTTAGTATGTGTTTGTACCAGAGTTGCTAACAATCAATCCAAACTGATGAGACTGACTGACTGACTGATTGCTTGGCAGTCAGTTCAGTGTCAGTTTAGAGCTCTCGTCTTATCAGTCAGTTCAGTTTAGAGCTCTTAAACTG